TGGTCGGCGAGCGCAGCGGTCGTAAGTTTCGGCTGGGTGATCGGTTGCAGGTCATTGTGAATGATATCGACCCTCCCCAGGGTCGTATTGATTTAAGCCTGCCCGGCATGGCCAGCGGGCGCACAAAGAAATCAGCAGGACCGCCGCGGGGTAAAAAGAAATCTTCCGCTGGGCGGCGTAAGAAACGCTCATGAGTGATGTTTATGGTATCCAGCCGGCCCGCGCACTCTTGCGTGATTCCCCTGAGCGAGCGCGGGCATTGTACATTCTGCAGGGGCGTCGTGACGCGCGAGTGAATGAGCTGATCAGCCTGGCTAAAGACGCTGGCATTCGCCACCAGAGCATGGACGCCACCTGGTTTCGGCGACGTGCCGCTGATGCTGCACACCAGGGTGTGTTGCTGGAATGCCACGAGCTGGCGTTGGCTCGGGAACAGGACCTGTTTGACAGCTGGGACAAATTTAAAACGCCACCGTTGTTCCTCATTCTTGATGGTGTGACAGATCCGCGCAATTTTGGTGCCTGTTTACGCAGTGCCAATGCTGCCGGGGTAGATGCGGTGATTGTGCCCAAACGCAACAGTGCGCCACTGAGCCCGGTGGCACTGAAAACGGCTCAGGGTGGGGCAGAAAATCTGCTCATTGTTGAGGTGGTCAATCTCGCGCGGTTTATGAAACAACTGATGCAACGCAACGTCTGGATCATCGGTGCTGATGGCGAGGCGGCGCAATCCTATACCGAGATTGATGCCCAGGATGGGTTAGCGTTGGTGATGGGCAGTGAAGGTAAAGGCTTGCGCCGGCTGACCAGGGAGCACTGTGATCAGCTGGTGCATATTCCAATGCAAGGCAGTGTCAGCAGCCTCAATGTGTCCGTGGCCACCGGTGTCATCCTGTTCGAGCTGCAGCGCCAGCGAATGACAGCCGCGTCGGCTCAGTAATCTGTAGCAGCCAACGTTCAACATCATTGCGACCGTGCTCAAGAAGCTCAGCAAGCTGCTGTTTGTCTGGCGCATAATATACCTGGCGCCCAATTTTGTACTGGCGAACCAGGCCCGCCTGGCGAAGAATGCGTATATGTGACGAGACGCTGCCATAGCGCAGGTTCAACGTTTTCATCAGCTGTTGCAGGCTGGCATTACTTTCAAGCAGTTGATCGAGTATCTGTCTGCGCTTGCGCTCCCGTAGAACATCAAAAAGGTCCATCTGCTCACTGACCAGTTCTGTTAGAACCTGTGCCGGTGGCACAGAGACGGTTGCCGGGTCGGCGGCCGGCATCTGTAAGCGCCCCAGCACGTTTTTGCGGCACGAGCTTGCCCCACAGGCACAGGGAAATCTGCGGAACAGATAATCTTCGGTCTGCGCATAATCCATGGTGACAAAATCACCGGGTTGAATCGGCTGCACGGCTTTGAATTGGCGGGTGGCAACATCAACGTAGGTGTTTGGATCACAACTGTGCAGAATTTTGCCGTAGAAGTAAGGGTCGTGCAGGTGCAGACCGGGCGCCAGCTGCAGAGAGAACTGTGTGACCTCAGCACACACGAAGCCGGTGCAGGCGAAGACAACATCCCCGATGGAGAACGGTACCAGAGAACGCACGCCTTCGCCGAGATGATCGTTCTCGTAGCCGATATGAAACCGGTCGCGGGTCGGCTCGTGTGGAAAAACAGGCAAATAGTCGGGATAAAATCGCAGTGAAGCGGTTTCGCTGGTTATACCCATGTTCATCTGTCTACTTCCGTAACAGGGTCTGGTAGTTGATGTCCTGGGTGCCAAAAAACTGGCTGACAAAGGCGAGCACGTCAAGTTCGTTATAGCCTTTGCAGCTGAACACGTCGAGGTACAGGTCTCTTGCCATGTCATTGGTGTGTACTGTGATCGCGCTGGTTTCGATCAGCTGGACACCGGAAATACCTTCTTCGATGCCGCCGCCAAAACGAGCTACCAGAGGTTCGCCGTAAGCGACCATGTCTATTTTCAGGACAAGTTCACCTAGAAAGTCTGCAATGGCGTCAACATCGAGCAGTTTCTCATTGCAGTGTCGTGCGCTCAGGACAACGTGTTTTCCGTAGTAATAAATCCCATCTACAAAAATCCGCTTGTATTCAGCGGGTGCCACAGGCGAAGGTTTGCTTTCAATCATTGTGTTGATTGCTCCAGTTTCGGTTGTTGAGAACAAAGTGGGTTCAGCTAAGCCTGAGCCGCTGCAAAGATAACGCCACGGTACTCGCGTGATTCATGATCAGCCGGTGCTGTGGCGATACGGATAGAGTGCTCGGCAAAGCCAGCCTGGATCAGGCCGGTACGTACGTCGTCTTCAAGCAGATACACGTTGGGATAACGCGTTTCGCCAAAGTCAGAATAGGTCGCCTGCTTCAGGGATGACATGATAAACAGACCGCCAGGTTGCAGCATCTGTTTCAGAGTTTCGATGTGCTGGTGCCACTCTTTGATGTCGTTGGTAACCGCATCCAGGCAGTAGTTTGTAATGACCACGTCAAAAAGGTGGTCGCTCTGGATGGGTGGACGCTGGTAAACATCACAGGAGGTGACAGGCCCAACAACAGACCTGATCAGCTCACAGCGCGCTTCGATCTGACCCGCATCAGGATGAGGGATACCTTCAAACTGCAAGCAGCGTTCGACAAATACGTGCCAGTCGAATTCCTGTTCGTCTCCGGCCAACCACCGTTCGACAAACTGCCGGTTTTCCGCAACATAGTCGCAGAAGTGTATGGAAGCTGCCCTTCGCGCCGCAGGAATCAGACCAATTAAGGTGGGACCGCCACCAAATTCAAGGACTCTGGCGCCGGCTTCAATGTGTTCAAACTGCTCAACCAGAAAGTTCAGCAGGCCGTCGGCCTCGCTGTCCAGTTGCCCATAGTAACTCTGCAGATAGTCCAGCGGACTAAATGCTTCATAGACGGCAAATTCGCCCATGTGCAAGACCCTCGTATACCCGATAAACCTAGGTGGTTGAAAAAATATTGTTGCCTGATTCAAGGTGAGACAGGCAGATCATCCACAGAGGAAAGGGAGGGTTCAGCTACCTTCCGCTGGCCCGCGCATCGTAATAAAAAACGAAGATATTCAAAGAAAAAAATTAGCTTTGAAGATGAACATTTTTCAAGTTGGTGATGGCATTATGTGGGGCAACGTTCAGTCTGGAAGATGAGCATGTCGTATGCGCTTGCAGCCAGCTATCTATCTGTTGTCCTGGCTGCCAATCTGTCGCTTGAGGCCGACGATTCTTGTCAGGCTGTACATGGGTTAACGCCGCAGCAGCTTGAAGAATTCGATTTCCAGGCGCGTGGCGAACACACTCAAGTCTGGACAGCTTGGCCCGGAGGCGATACCCAATACGTGCTTGGCAAGGTTCGCTTCATTCGCCAGAACGTATTTCCAGACCGCAACCATTGGCTGGCCCGCCAGGCGAACCGATTTAACATAGTGACTAACGAAAAAGCTCTGTCAGCTGCTTTTCCCATTGATTCAGGCACGCTGATCGATGAGAACAGGCGCCAGGAGGCTGAGCGCATATTACGCGACAAAGCTTTCCTCTATGACGCCCGGGTGCTGGTGCGTCAGGTGTGCGGTACTCAGTTGGATCTGGATGTCGTTGTCCGCGATGTCTGGACGCTGACGCCAGGCATAGGTCTGACCCGGTCCGGTGGTGACAATGAAACCTCTGTGAGTTTGTCTGACGTGAATTTCCTCGGCACGGGCAAAGGCTTGAGTGTGGAGTACTTTGATGACGTCGACCGCTCCGGCACATTCCTGAGTTATGACGACCCTAATATTTCTGGCTCACGCTGGCGTGGGGGTCTGGTGGCCGCTGATAACGATGACGGCGAACGTTATGGCGCGAGCTTGAGCCGACCGTTTTTTGCGCTGGACACACCTTATGCCGTCGGCTTGGCGGTCAATCACTTTGTGCGCAAAGAAGACCTGGAGTTCCTCGGCAAAGACCAGTTTGAACTGCGTGGCAAGACAGATACGGCCAATGTCTTTGTTGGCCGTTCATCAGGTCGCCAGCAGGGTTGGGTGAATCGATATTTTGCGGGCGTGCGTTATCAGCATGAGCGCTTTGAGTATCCGCTGGATTTTCCCGGCCCCAGCGAAGACGAACGCAAATTTGTCTATCCCTACGTTGCTTGGTCGCTGATTGAAGAGCAATTTGAGGCGCGCACCGATGTTGATCGCGTGGGCATAGTTGAAGACATTAACCTGGGCTGGAACCTCTATGCAGAACTCGGCTGGTCGCCGGAGGCGTTTGGCGGTATTGGTGACTATCTGCTGCTGCGCGGGGCGGCCAGCCATAGGCAGTATCTGGCGCGCGGTCACCTGCTCAGCCTCTCAGCAGAGTTGCGCAGCCGTTACCAGCTGGAGGAAAGCGCCACCGAAGATCTGTGGCTGGAAGGCAGAGCCAGCTATCTATGGCAACAGAATGAGAAGTGGCGGTTTTTTGCCAGCCTGGATTACACCCTCACGCGGAATCTGCCTTTAGATCAGCAACTGACCCTGGGTGGAGACGATGGTTTACGCGGCTATCCCACCAGATACCAGATTGGCGACCGCAGTGTGCTGGCGACACTAGAGCAACGCTACTATTCCAGCGCTTACCCTTTTGGACTGTTCCGTGTTGGTTACGCGGCATTTCTCGATGTTGGCCGTGCCTGGTTCGAAGATGATCCACCGGCCTGGGTGCCACCCCGGGAGGGGGAACACTTTGATGTGCTGAGCAACGTCGGTATCGGCTTGCGGTTGGAGAGTGTACGCACCCGGCGGGATCGTCTGGTGCATATCGACCTGGCCAAGCCGCTGGTGGATGGTCCATTTGTCAGCAGTTGGGAATTCACCATTACCGCAAAGCAGTCTTTTTAATCGCGCCGGAAGTCGACCCGGAAACCCGTATGACGCCATAGGAACCAGGTGAGCAGGGGAAATGCAGTGAGTGCGGAAGCAAAGTTCCACTCTGAAATATTCTGCAGGAAATCGTCATCTTCGAAAAAGTTGGCCAGCACCGCAAACGCAAGCCCTCCCCAGAACATGAATATGGCCATTCGATACTTCCAGCGCACCATCGGCGAACTGATTTCAGCATCGATGATGCGCTTGGCGAACAACAGTTGCGCAAGGAAGGTGAAGCCGAAAAACACCACCGTGCCATAGCGGCGCAAAGTGCGGTAAGTGTCGCCGTCGGAACCCAGAAAAGTCACATACAGCACCAGGAAAAGCGCACCGACCAGTCCCAGCGTGAGAATCACCTGATCAACCCGCGCCGGCGTGATGATCAGGTTTAACCACCGATAACACAGAATCCAGTAGATGAGGGTCAGACCTGCGGCGGGCAGCATGGTGGCTTTGAAGACAAAAAATCCCCAGCCATGGCGGCCACTGGCGCTGATGCTGTCGCAACCGGTCAGGTGCGGTACACACCAGTCGACGTAGCCGGCGTTGGCGGACAATAGATAGGCTGCCAAAGGGCCGGTCCAGAACAGCAGCCAGGTGACGATAGCGACGTTGCGAAGATCAAGCATGGCGCAATGTTACTGATTTTACGGCCTGTAGAGAGGGTGGATGGCGTCGTTTTTATCGACGTTGAAAGTGACTTAAATCTTAGGGAGCTAATTTTCACCGGGTCGTTATCTGAAGCTGAATTGAAAACTTCTTTCATCGGTCGAATCCGAAGAACGCAGTCGCGTTTCAACCGAGCGCCACTGTTCCGGGTTGAGCGGTATCTGTTGCAGAAAAGACACTGAAATCTTCGCGCAATAATACGGCATGGTGCTGCCCAGGTAAGCGGCGAGGCGTGTCTCTCGGTTTTTGATGTTTGCGGCTAGAGATACATTTTCCGCTGCGCCACCATGAATCATCATGGATGCAAGGGCAGTGTCTTTGATGTCTCCTTCGGGTAAATCGTTAATCCATTGTTCTGCACCGGTCAGGTCATGTTTTATCCAGTTATCGACCACGGTTTCCGTTGCCGCTTTGCGATAGCTGGCGTCGGTGATCTCCGGAAGCCAGGTTGCAGCCAGTGCAGCATCGTTGCTCGCGGTCCGTCTGATCAAGCCAGGTAGTGCGATGTTCCGATTCACTTCATCCATGGCCATGACATAACCCAGGGCCACGCTATGGTTCTGGCGATACAGAGATTCCATGGAGTAGGTGAGCAGCTGAGGAAAGTACTTTTCGTCCCGAAAACGCTGTATCCACTCAAGATTGTCCTCGGGTGCCTTATCTGACGTTGCTCTTACAATGCCTTTCAACCAGGCCAAACGGGTGTGTTCAGGCAGTTGCGATAGATAGTCCGCGGCGGCAAGGGGTTCACTTTGAGCCCATAGGCGTCCCAGCGTGGTCATTAGATTTTCCTGCCCCGGGGGGGTGTCAACCGAGGCCAGCCAGTTTGCTGCAGCTGCGGGGTCATTTGCACCCCAGCCGTTGACCAGTCCCAACAGCGCTCGACTTTTCCACCATGAGTCGGGTAACTGTTCGTATTGTGTAATCGCTTCTAGTGGATCGGTACTTGATAGGACTGCTAGCGCATTTCTGATGACATCGACGCTATGTTTGTCGCTCATGCGTTTGGCGAGATTGATGGCGCGTAGCGGGTCAGTGTCGGCAATCAATCGCAGTGCTGTTTTAAGTATTCTAGCGGCCTGGGCATCGGTGAGTGTGTCAGCCCAAAGCAACGCACGCTCAGGTGCTTTGCGTGCCAATGCCTCGCCCGCGATACTCGCCACACGACCCCGTTCATCAACAGGCAGGTCGTCAATTATTTTAATGATGGCATCGACGTCTTTCACGTCAACGCCGTAGGCGACGTTGACAAACAGGCGTTCGCGCAACGGTGATGAAGGTAAAGCCAGGATATGGGGTAATGCTGCCAGAGGTTGTTGGTTGGCAACCCATGAAAAAAGGCGTTGAAGGAAGGGTTCGAGGTCTGTGGACGTCTGAGCCTGGTTAAAGAGGCTGAGGGTTTCTACGCCTGCGGCTTCATACCAGACGCGCGCCGTCAGGTTCAGCATAGCCGCCTGCTTGGTGTGTATAACCGGAGAGCTAATGATCTGCCTGGCGGTTTCCATTGGCGCATGTTGAGCAAGGGTCTCGATTAAATCGTTCACGTAGGCTTCTCCGGCACGATTCGGCGGGTGATCGGCATGTGCAGCAAGCGCTTGCTGTAACAGTGTGCGCAATCGTTGCAGAGACCCTGGCGAGTTACTCAATGCCGGTTCTGACATTGTTTTTGGTAGTGTTGTTTGTGATCGTAATGCAACACTTTCAGAAGAGGAGATGGCCGTATCTGCCAGCCAACCGAGCAAACCTCCACTGGTGAACGCGATCAATAGCGTGATCTTGTGTAGCTGCATCATGTTCCTCTCACCTGAACAGGTAAGCTGCAGAATAGTCTCCGGGGAAGCCCGAATCTAGCGCCCCTCCAGTGCCAGCAGGACAACTTGCTTCAAGCTGCCTTCCCCCATACAATGCGCGCCCCCACAATTTTGGTGGGTAAACCTTGCCTCACGCGTAACCTGGATAAAAAGCCAGAGACGTCGGAGGCGAAACGCCGACAAGGCGGGTATTGGCAATTCAATATCCATCGCGGCGCTAACCGAAAGGAGATGTTATGCGACATTATGAAGTCGTTTTTATGGTCCATCCGGACCAGAGTGACCAGGTGCCCGGGATGATCGAGCGCTACCATGCCATGATCGAGCGCGGCAACGGTGTCGTCCACCGCACGGAAGACTGGGGCCGGCGTCAGCTTGCCTTCCCTATCGCCAAGATTCACAAAGCCCACTATATCCTCATGAACATTGAGGTTGACCAGGGTGTGTACGATGAGTTGATGAGCGCTTTCCGTTTCAACGACGCGGTTATCCGCAGCATGGTCATTCGCCGCAATGAGCCGCAGGTAGGTAACTCGAAGATCTACGAAGAAGAATTGCGCGATCAGGAAAAAGACAAAGAACGCGAACGTCGTCGCGAAGAAGAATATGCCGCTCGTGCTGCGCAGAACGCCAGCTCTGAAGAAGAAAGTGGTGAGTCATCAGATAACACCGAAGCAGCTGCAGAGTCTGCTGCGGATACCGAAGAGGAGCCCAGCTCATGAGCCGTCGTCGTATGCAACAAGCCCAGCAAGAGGGTGATATCGATTACAAAGATCTGGACACCCTGCGTCAGTTTATTGGCGAAACCGGAAAGATTGTGCCCAGTCGCATCACCGGTACTTCCGCCCGTTTTCAACGCATGCTGGCCAAAGAAGTTAAACGCGCACGTTACCTTGCGCTGCTGCCCTACACGGACCAGCACAACTAGGTCGAGGAGATTTGGATGAATATTATTTTACTCGAGCCGGTGAACAATCTAGGTGAACTCGGTGACGAAGTGGTGGTTAAGCCTGGTTTTGCCCGTAATTTCCTGATTCCTCAGGGTCGAGCGGTGCAGGCCAATAAGACCAATCGTGCAGAGTTTGAAGCACGTCGCGCGGAGCTTGAATCAGCTGCCAACGAAAAACTTGGTGCAGCTCAAACCCGCGGCGAAAGTCTGAAAGACGTTGTCCTTACGATGGTTGTGAAAACCGGTGAAGAAGGACGTCTCTACGGTTCAGTGGGCACTCAGGATATCGCTGATGCGCTCACCAGTGATGGACATGAAGTAGCGCGCGCGGAAGTGCGCATGCCGGAAGGTGTGATCCGTATGACCGGAGAATACGACATTGCGCTGCAGTTACATTCAGAAGTCACCGTGGACATCAAAGTCAACGTGGTGGCTGAATAATCAGTAACTAACTGCGTATATAGAAGTTTCAGAATAAGAAGCACTTTAAGTGCCGTTTGAAAGGGTCCCATCGGGGCCCTTTTTTTTGCAGTTCTTTTTTTGCCGTAAAAAGCAGGGTTTTTGCATTAGCGCGTCGCTTAGTGGTTGCAAAAATTCAGGCAACCGAGCAAAGTCTTCAACCGTCTACACAAATTCGCTCCATGTCTGAATACGCCCCCGAACCACCGTCACCCATTAACCTTAAAGTACCCCCGCACTCTATAGAGGCTGAACAGTCTGTATTAGGGGGGCTGATGCTGAACAACGAAGCCTGGTTCGACCTGGTGGAAATTGTCCATGCTCACGACTTTTATCGCACCCAGCATCAGATTATTTTTGAAGCGATGATGGCGCTGGCAAATGCCGATGAGCCCATGGACGCCGTGACCGTATCAGAACGCTTGCGCTCTCAGGCGTTGCTGGAAAAGGCGGGTGACGTCACCTACCTTGCAGAACTGGCAGAGGCAACGCCAGGCGCCAGCAACGTGCTGGCGTATGGCAAAATTGTCCGTGAGCGATCAATCATGCGTCAGCTCATCGGTGCTGCCAACAAGATAGCCGACGCTGCTTTTTCACCCGATGGCCGCGACAGCAACGCGCTGGTTGAAATTGCCGAACAGTCGGTATTTGAAATTGCGGAAAACCGCAGCACAGAAGGTGGTCCGGAAAAAGTTGCACCGCTGCTGTCCAGAGCGGTGGAAAAAGTAGAATTTCTCTACAACAACAAAGGCGGCACCACAGGTGTTGCAACAGGGTTTGCAGATCTTGATAAAAAGACCTCTGGTCTGCAGTCCTCAGATCTGGTGATTATTGCCGCCCGCCCTTCCATGGGTAAAACTGCTTTTGCGGTGAACATGGTTGAGCATGCGGTCATGTCCGGCGAGGCAGTGCTGGTGTTCAGTATGGAGATGCCTTCAGAACAGATTGTCATGCGTATGCTGTCGAGCCTGGGCCGTATTGATCAGACGCGTTTGCGCGACGGATCGTTGCAGGACGACGACTGGGCGCGTTTCACCGGTGCAGTCAGTCAGTTGCGCGATAAAAAACTCTACGTTGATGACACGCCGGCGTTAACGCCTGGCGACGTGCGCTCCCGGGCGCGCCGGGTCGCACGGGAAGCCGGTGGTCTGGGTCTGATTGCGGTGGATTATCTGCAGCTGATGCGGACCGCGGATAAATCTGAATCCAGAGCCGGTGAAATTTCTGAAATCTCCCGTTCTTTAAAGGCGCTGGCTAAAGAAATGCGCTGTCCGGTGATCGCTCTTTCCCAGTTAAACCGTGCACTGGAAGCCCGGCCGGACAAACGCCCGATGATGTCAGACCTGCGGGAGTCTGGCGCTATCGAGCAGGATGCCGACGTCATTTTGTTTATCTATCGTGATGAGGTTTACAACGAAGATACCGAAGACAAAGGTGTTGCAGAAATCATCATCGGCAAACAGCGTAATGGTCCGATTGGCAAAGTCCGCCTGTCGTGGATCGGCAACCTGACCAAATTTGAAAATCTGGCGTCGGATATTTACGCCGATTATGTTTAGACCGAAGTACCTGTAGCCGTGGCCAAAACCAAAACCAAAACCGCTTACGTCTGCAGTGACTGTGGCGCTGAATTTGCCAAATGGCAGGGGCAGTGCAACGCCTGTAACGAGTGGAACACGCTGTCCCGGGTGAATATCAGCCCGATCAAAGAATCCCGGGTAGGTTTTGCCGGTGCCGCAGCGCAGATTCAAAAACTCAACGAAGTCAAAGCACAGGAAGCCGAGCGCCTGACCACCACTTTTGGTGAGCTGGATCGCGTCCTTGGCGGCGGCCTGGTGCCTGGTTCCGTGGTGCTGATTGGTGGCGATCCTGGCGCTGGTAAAAGCACACTGCTGTTGCAGGTGTGTACAAAAATGGCGCAATCCCGTGGCGTCTTGTATGTCACCGGGGAAGAGTCTCTGCAGCAGCTGGCGATGCGCGCCAAGCGTCTGGAGCTACCGATGGACGGGCTCGATGTTGCCTCGGAGACGCGCGCCGAAGTGATTGCCAGCCACATCACCCAGCGTAAACCCGATGTGGTTGTGCTGGATTCTGTGCAGGTATTGCAGATGGATGCCCTTGATGCAACGCCGGGTTCTGTGACCCAGGTGCGCGAAACCGCGGCGTTTTTCACCCGTCTGGCGAAACAGACAGATACCGTCATTATTCTGGTTGGGCACATCACCAAAGAGGGTGGGCTGGCAGGTCCGAAGGTGCTGGAACATATGATTGATTGTTTCATGATGCTCGACAGCCCGGCAGGCAGTCGTTATCGAACCTTGCGCGGTCATAAAAATCGCTTTGGCGCCATCAATGAGCTTGGTGTCTTTGCCATGACAGATCTGGGCATGAAAGAAGTGGCTAACCCGTCAGCGATTTTCCTGCAACGCGGTGAAGTAGATTCCCCCGGCAGCGTCGCGACGGTGACCTGGGAAGGTACAAGACCTTTGTTGGTGGAGATTCAGGCACTGGTGGATGAAGTGGCAGGAGGCTACGCCAAACGCGTTGCTGTGGGCCTGGATCAGCAGCGGCTGGCGATGCATCTGGCGGTGATGCACAGGCATTGTGGCATTACCCTGGCTGATCAGGATGTGTTTGCTAATGTGGTTGGCGGTGTGCGCATCACGGAGACCGGTGCTGATCTGGCGCTGCTGCTGGCGGTGTTATCGTCTTTTCGTGATCGGGTGCTGCCGCGGGATCTGATTGTTTTCGGGGAGTTGGGTCTGACCGGCGAACTGCGTCCGGTGGCTAACGGCCAGGAGCGCCTGCGTGAGGCCGCCAAGCACGGCTTCAAGCGCGCGATAGTGCCGTTTGCCAATCGTCCCAAGGAAAACCTGCCTAACATGGCAGTGCACGGCGTGCAGAGCCTCAGCAGTGCCTTAGAGGTTCTGACTAACCTCTAAGGCAGGCAATTTTTTTGCGCGCTGCTTAGGCCCTGTGTATCGGTTTGTACTTGATCCGAGTCGGTCCAGCATCACCAAAACGGCGTTTATGATCGGCTTCATAGTCACTGTAGTTGCCTTCGAACCACTCAACATGGGAATCGCCTTCAAACGCCAGAATATGGGTGGCAACCCGATCAAGGAACCATCTGTCGTGAGATATCACCAGCACGGTGCCGGCAAAATTCAACAGCGCCTCTTCCAGCGCGCGTAGCGTCTCTACATCGAGATCGTTTGTCGGCTCGTCCAGCAGCAGCACGTTGGCACCGCTGCGTAACAGCTTGGCCAGGTGAACACGATTGCGTTCACCACCGGACAGGTCGCCCACACGTTTCTGCTGGTCGCTGCCTTTGAAATTGAAACGCCCAACATAGGCACGACTTTGGATCTCATGTCTGCCAACCCGCATGATGTCCTGACCGTCGGAAATTTCTTCCCAGACTGTTTTGCTGCCATCGAGGGCGTCGCGGCTCTGATCAACAAAAGCCATCTGTACGGTGGGACCGATATCGACACTGCCTTCGTCAGGCGTTTCATCGCCAGTGAGCATTTTAAAAAACGTCGACTTGCCCGCGCCGTTGCCACCAATGATGCCGACAATGGCACCCTGGGGGATGTTGGCGTTGAGGTTCTCGATCAGCAGGCGTTCACCAAACCCTTTGTACAGGCCATTGATTTCGATGACTTTTTCACCCAGGCGTTCGCCGGTGGGAATGAACAATTCGGTGGTTTCCTGGCGGGCTTCGGATTCCTGATTGACCAGCTCATCGAAGCGGGCCAGGCGAGCGCGGGATTTTGACTGCCGGGCTTTAGGGTTGCTGCGCACCCAGTCCAGCTCCGACTTTATTGATCGCTGTCGGGCTTTTTCCTGTGACGCTTCGGTCTGCAGACGTTGCTCTTTGTTTTCCAGCCAATGGCTGTAGTTACCTTCAAACGGAATGCCCCGACCCCGATCGAGTTCTAAAATCCAGCCGGCAACGTTGTCGAGGAAATAACGATCGTGGGTAACAGCCACAACAGTGCCGCTGTAGTCGTCGAGAAAGTGTTCCAGCCAGCTGACACTTTCCGCATCCAGGTGGTTGGTAGGTTCGTCCAGCAGCAGCATGTCGGGTTTGGACAGTAACAGGGCGCACAGTGCCACGCGTCGACGCTCACCGCCAGAGAGCACGTTGACCGGGGTTTCCCAGGGTGGCAGGCGCAGCGCATCCGCAGCAATATCTAAAGTTCGGTCGATATCCCAGCCGTCCACGGCATCAATCTGCGTAGCCAGTTCACCTTGCCGCTCCAGCAGCTCGGTCATCTGTTCATCATCCATGGGCTCAGCAAACTTTTCCGATATTTCATTGTATTCGTTGATGATGGCCATGATCGGGGCAACACCCTGTTCCACGTTACCGCGCACATCAAGCTCATCATCCAGCTGTGGCTCCTGGGGCAGATAACCCACGTTGATGTCTTTCTGTGCGCGTGCTTCGCCGTCAATCTCCGTATCGAGACCAGCCATGATGCGTAACAGGCTGGATTTACCTGAGCCGTTTAAACCCAGTACGCCGATCTTGGCGCCAGGGAAAAAAGACAGTGAAATGTTTTCCAGAATAATGCGTTTCGGCGGCACTACTTTGGTGACGTTCTGCATGGTGTAAACGTATTGCGCCATGTCGTTCCTTTAAGCGTTTAAGCGTTGTCGGCCGCACGCGGCTAAGCAGCCTGCGTCCATTTTTAAGAAGCGCGCAGTATACGGGTGTGGTGCCCATAGCCCCAGCCTAAATATGGAGGCAATGTAATTCACGTTGAACATGAGGCTTTTTTTAATCATGCTAAAAAGCTTTCGGTTACAATAGCGTCTTTCATACAGCCGACCTACACGGCTGACTCCCATCCAGGTAAAAAACACAGGGCAGACCATGTTTGCAGGTAATGAAACCATTGCAGGATTTGATGATGAATTGGCCGCAGCAATCGCTGCGGAAAATGTGCGCCAGGAAGAGCACATTGAATTAATAGCCTCGGAAAACTACGCCAGTCCCAGGGTGCTGGAGGCCCAGGGCAGCGTGCTCACCAACAAATACGCGGAAGGTTATCCGCACAAACGCTACTACGGTGGCTGTGAGTATGTTGATCAGGTGGAAGTGCTGGCCATCGATCGTGCAAAAGCATTGTTTGGCGCGGATTATGCCAACGTGCAGCCACATTCCGGTTCCTCGGCTAACTCGGCGGTGTATCTTGCGTTGATGGAAGCGGGTGATACGGTGCTGGGTATGAGCCTGGCTGACGGCGGCCATCTGACGCACGGCGCTTCAGTGAATTTTTCCGGACGGCTCTACAATGCGGTGCAGTATGGAATTGATGCCAGCTCGGGTGAAATGGACTATGACGCCATTGCGCGCCTGGCAAAAGAACACAAGCCGAAAATGCTGATGGCCGGTTTCTCAGCCTACTCAAGAATTGTCGACTGGCAGAAGTTTCGCGACATTGCAGATGAAGTGGGTGCCTATCTGGTTGTCGACATGGCCCATGTTGCCGGTTTGGTTGCCGCTGGTCTGTATCCTAATCCGGTACAGATAGCAGACGTCACCACCTCAACTACTCACAAAACCTTAGGTGGCCCCAGAGGTGGCATTATTCTGGCGAAGTCTAATCCTGAGATTGAGAAGAAACTTAACTCTGCACTGTTCCCTGGCAGCCAGGGCGGCCCACTGATGCATGTTATTGCGGGTAAAGCGGTGTGTTTCAAAGAAGCCATGGGTGATGATTTTGTCGCTTATCAGCGGCAGACGCTGGCCAACGCCAGCACCATGGCCAGCCAGTTCATTGAGCGGGGATATCGTGTTGTCTCCGGTGGAACCGATAATCATCTGTTCCTCCTCGACCTGGTAGACAAAGACATCACCGGCAAAGACGCTGACGCCGCGCTGGGTCGTGCCAATATCACTGTGAATAAAAACGCCGTACCTAACGATCCACGCTCACCCTTTGTTACCAGCGGCCTGCGTATCGGATCGCCGGCGGTTACCCGCCGCGGCTTTAAAGAAGCGGAGTGTGCAACCCTCACAGGTTGGATGTGTGACATTCTGGAAGATATTGACAACGACAATATGGTGGGCAGTGTGAAGCAGCAGGTGGTTGAATTATGCCGGCGCTTCCCGGTGTACCCGAAAGTATAAGGAACGGTAGCCACTGTGCATTGCCCCTTCTGCAGAGCTGACGATACCAAGGTGATTGACTCCCGCCTGGTGGCTGATGGTGATGCGGTGCGTCGTCGTCGCGAATGTCAGGCTTGTGGCGAGCGTTACACAACGTTTGAAACCGCCGAACTGGTGATGCCGAGGTTGATCAAACGTGACGGCAGCCGGGTGCCTTTTGATGATGCCAAGCTTAAGACCAGCTTAACTAAGGCGTTAGAAAAACGTCCGGTCAGCGTTGATCAGATTGAAACCGCCCTCACACATATAAAGACCCGCCTGCGCTCTACCGGCGAACGGGAGATTCCTTCTCTGCAGGTGGGTGAAGAAGTGATGCGGGAATTGCGTGCTCTGGATCCCGTGGCCTATGTTCGATTTGCTTCGGTCTACCGGGATTTTCAGGATGTCAGCGAGTTCACAGAAGAAATTCGCAAGCTGGTGAAAGAGACGTGACACCCTCCGATGGCGTGTTCCTTGCCGCTACCATTGAGCTGGCTGAGCAAGGCCGCCTGACCTGCGCACCCAATCCGCCTGTAGGGTGCATCATCGTTCGCAATCAACAGATTCTCGGCCGCGGTTATCATGTCCGCACCGGTGAGGGCCATGCTGAGGTGAATGCCATAGCGGATGCCGGTGGCGATATTCTTGGCGCTACGGTTTACGTGAGCCTGGAGCCCTGCGCCTTTGTGGGTCGCACCCCGGCGTGCGCGCAAACACTGATTGATGCGCAGGTGGCACGGGTCGTGATTGCCGCCACCGACCCGCATCCGCAGGTTGCAGGTGCGGGCATCAGAATGCTGCGAGCGGCTGGTATCGAAGTCAATCTACTGACCCAGGCAGCAGCCCTTGATCTGATTCAGGGTTATGTGTCCAGAGAACTGTCAGGCAAACCGTTGGTCAGGTTGAAAACCGCCAGCAGCCTGGATGGTGCTACCGCCCTGGCCAGCGGCGAAAGCCAGTGGATTACCGGCGAAGCAGCCCGCCAGGATGTGCAGTATTGGCGGGCGCGCAGTGATGCCATTATTACCGGCGTGCAAACTGTGATTGAAGATAATCCGCAGCTGAATGTTCGCGCACCACAATATCAGCATGCCCGAGCACCCTTGCGGGTTGTGCTGGACTCTCGCCTGTCAACGCCGCCCCAGGCAACCGTGATCACGGATGGTGGCGCCACCCTGCTGGTGCATAACGCCGGTGTAGATGTGCCCGAACACCTGCATAATGCGCATTCGGTAAGCTTATTGGCGTTACCTGCAGGTCCGCAGGATCTGAGCGCTGTGCTGCAGCACCTTGCCAGCCTGGGCTGTAACGAAGTGTTGGTGGAAGCCGGTGCCAAAGTCTGCGGTAGCTTTGTTGCGGCGCAGTTGTGGGATGAATGGATATGTTACGTAGCACCCAAATGGTTAGGGGTCGCGAGTCAGCCGCTGGCGAATTTTACAGTTGCGCAACTCGACCAGGCGCCAACAGGAAAAGTGATGGATATAAGACAGATAGGTGATGACGTTTGTGTGCGTCTGAAGGCTGATCGTGGCGAATAACAAAACCAACATCTGGGCGCGGCGTAAAGCTCGGCGGGCACTGGTGCAGGCGACTTATCAGTGGCAGCTGTCTGCCGGAAATCTATCTGACATCAAGGCCGAATTTTACGATTCAGATGCACTGAAGAAGGCCGATGTTGAATTTTTCAATGAGCTGTTAACACATGTGGTCTACCACCCGTCAGAACTGGATGCGACTTACGCAGAGCTCCTGGATCGCGCGGTAGACAAACTTGATCATGTGGAACGGGCGATTCTGCGTCTTGCCGCGGCTGAGTTTAAACATCGTATAGATGTGCCTTACCTGGTGGTTATTGATGAGTACGTGGAGCTGGCGAAAACCTTTGGCGCCACAGACTCACACAAATACATCAATGGTGTGCTGGATAAACTTGCCGGTAGTTTGCGCAGCATTGAAGTTCAGGCTGCAAAGCGTGGATGAATTTGCATTGATACGCGAGGTGGTTCGCCATCTCGCGGATCGTGCACAAGGCCCCTGGGTCACCCTGGGTCCTGGTGATGATGCTGCGGTAATGCAGCAATCACCTGCCCACGATGCGGTGGCTTCCATCGATACCCTGGTCGCCGATGTACATTTCCCCGCCAGTGCGCCTGCGTTTTATATCGGTTATCGTGCCCTCATGGTCAGCTTGTCAGATCTGGCCGCAATGGCTGCGCAGCCACGTTATGTGCTGGTGGCGCTGACGCTGCCTGCGGCAGACGTCTCCTGGGTAGGTGATCTGGCAAAAGGCATGGCGGCGGCAGCTCGGGTGTGTGACACCTACATCTGTGGTGGTAATTTCGCCCGTGGTCCACTCAGCATAACAGTTAGTGTGCATGGTGAGGTACCAACAGGCAAAGCCGTCACCAGAGCAGGCGCACGGGTCGGTGATCAGCTTTATGTGAGCGGCCCGTTGGGCCTTGCGGCGGCTTGTGTGCGTAACCGGAATTACCAGGTGCAGGACAAATTGAATGCCCTGCAGCGTGCCTACTTCATGCCCGCGGCGCGCTTTGATCTGTTGGCGGTATTGCGATCGAACGCCCACGCTGCCATTGATATTTCTGACGGTCTGCTGGCGGATGCGCGGCATCTGGCTGAGGCATCCGGCGTCGGTGTGAACATCAATTCAGCGGATCTGAAACTTACTGAAGGTGTGTCGCTGGAAGATGTCCTGAATGGAGGAGATGATTATCAACTACTCGCCACTGCAGGTGTGCCTTTGCCCGGCATGATGAACATAGGCCAGATCAACTCGGGTACCGGTGTGAGTCTGGACGGCGTTGAACAGCAGCCACACGGGTATAACCACTTTGTCGCTTAGCGTGCGGAGTTTAATCCGACCGGAGGTGTTGTGGGCCAGCGGTCTGGGGCTGGGGTTTTTGCGGCCCGCGCCCGGCACCTGGGGGTCAGCCGGCGCCGTTGTCGTCTGGTGGTTATTCCTGGCTGAATTTGATCCGCTGATCCAGTTGTCGATCTGCGCGGCCTATTTTATCAGCGGCTGGGTTTGCAGCACGCTTGTGACGCGGACCTTCGGCATTGATGACGCTTCTGAAATTGTGGCTGACGAGGTGGCTGGTATGTGGCTTGCGCTGGCGTTTTTACCGCCAACATGGTGGCTCGTGTTGCTTGCCTTCGGGCTGTTTCGCCTGCTCGATATCCTCAAACCCGGTCCTATTGGCTGGCTTGACCGTGAGGTAAAAGGCGGCTTGGGCGTTATGCTGGATGATCTGCTGGCAGGTGCGGTGGTGGCAATTGTGTTGTACGTCGCAGTTTTGAGCTTGCGCGCGTCAGGTCTGACCCCAGCGCTGCTCTAGCCCGCTACACTGTCGCCAGAAGATTGCGCAGCAGCTATTGGTGATACTTCGAAGATGATAATTCCTCGCCAAAAATTAAACCTACGTACAGTCCTTCTCGTCAGTCTGGGATTACTTTTCAGTGCCGTACAGGTATCAGCCGCTGCACCGGTAGAAGTGGTGGCGCTGTTTAAAGATCGTGCGGTGGTACGAATGGCGGGTGAACAGCAGATGTTAAAAGTGGGTGAGACGTCGCCTGCTGGTGTGAAATTGCTGCAGGCAGACACAGCTGGCGCTCGCGTAAGCTATCGGGGGCAGGAATATCAGCTCAGTCTCACCGCTCGGGTCGCGGGGAGTTTTGCCAAGCCGACCTCGGAATCTGTGCGCATCAGCCGGGATTCTGTTGGGCAGTACCGAATGCGGGGTGCGCTCAATGATCATATGGTTGATTTTCTTATCGATACGGGTGCTTCAGTGGTGGCGTTAAGTGAGCGGCAGGCACAACAGATGGGGCTTAACTATCAGTCCGGTCAGCGCGGCACAGTGCAGACCGCACAAGGTAACGCCAATGCCTATTTTCTGCTGTTAGATCGAGTCACGCTGGGTGGCATCACGCGAAACAAAGTGAGGGCCACGGTGATTGAGGGTATGTACCCGACGGATGTGTTGTTGGGGATGTCGTTTCTGAACTCCCTCAATCTGAACGATAACAATGGAGTGTTAACCCTGACGGCCAGGTTCTAGTGGCCAGGGCTCCGGATTGGGTCAGTGATCGCGGTTGATCACCTGCTGTGCAATCTGTTCCAGACTGTCAATCTTCAAACGGGTTCTCTGCAGCAGTGCCATCGCTTCCTGGATTAACGTATGGGCCAGCTCACGGGCCTGTTCAGTACCCATCAACCTTGGGAAGGTGTTCTTGTCTAATGCCTCATCTGAGCCTGCGGGTTTTCCCAGCTGCTCGGTACTCTGGGTGACGTCGAGCACATCGTCCATGACCTGAAAGGCCAGGCCAATGCGGTTGCCGAATTCGGCGAGCAGCAGAAACTGTTCTTTGCTGGCGACGGCGTCGCCGGCGCAATGACAGCCCAGCTGCACCGCCGCGCGAATCAGCGCGCCGGTTTTTGCGCCATGTAACACCTGTAATTCCCCCAGACTCAGATGTCGCCCCTCGGCCTCAATATCCAGGCACTGTCCACCGGCCATACCCGCCCAGCCAGCGGCTTCCGCCAGCGTTTCGATCATCGTCAGTCGGGTTTCTGCAGAGTGACCAGGCGCTGTGGCAATGGTCTTGAATGCCAGAGAATGCAGGCTGTCGCCGGCCAGAATGGCATTGGCCTCGCCGTAAGCAATATGAGTGCTCGGTAAGCCGTGGCGAACTTCATCATCGTCCATCGCAGGCAGGTCGTCGTGAATCAGAGAATATGCATGGATGAATTCAATAGCACAGGCAACGGGCAGAGCTGCCATGGCATCTTTACCAAAAGCTTCGCTGGTTGCGCAGACCAGCATGGGCCGAATGCGTTTGCCGCCGCCCAACACCGCATGCCGCATCGCGTCGGTGATTGCCTGGGCGATGTCAGATTGGCGCGGCAGGTGTTTGTCCAGCGACCGGTTGATCTGCTCGCGCAGAATCTCAAGGTCAGTTGTCATCAACATCGCCGAGATCAAAATCCTCCAGAGTATTGTCTGCGGTGAGCGTCTGCACTTTTAATTCGGCCTGGGCGAGGGCGTTTGAGCAGTGGCGGGTGAGCGCGATGCCTCGTTCAAAGGCCTGTAGCGACTCGTCTAAACTTAAGCTGCCGCCTTCCATCTGTTCAACCAGCGTCTCCAGCTCTGCCAGTGCGGCTTCAAACTGTATGTCTTGTGTCAAATTGTTGTCACCCTCGGGTGTTTTGGCGTCAGTTTTTTTGGTGTTTTTCATGGCGCTCAAGGTAGCAAGGTGCGCTGGTGGAGAAAAGCCTTTTGCGCAGCGCTTTTTGGCCCACGCATGGACACAGATGTGCTGACGACATTTCCAACGACAATCGCAGGATGTGTTCTAGACTTCTAGATAAGGAATAAACCAAGGACTTCGTTAGATGGATCTGGCGACCCTCATCGGCTTACTCGGTGCTTTTGGCATCGTGTTGTACGCAATGCTCTCTGGTGGCGACATCGGTATGTTTGTCAACGCACCGTCGTTGCTGATTGTACTGGTGGGATCACTGTTTGTGGTGTTGATGAAGTTCAATCTGGCGCAGTTTCTGGGTGCTATTAAAGTGGCCATAAAGGCATTCAGCTTCAAACTTACCCCGCCTGAAGACCTCATCGAAGAGGTGGTGGCGCTGGCTGACGAAGCACGCAAAGGCGGGCTGCTGTCGCTGGAAGGCAAAGAAGTATCCAATCGTTTTCTGAATAAAGGTATTCAACTGCTGGTGGATGGTCATGATGCGGAAGTGGTTCGTACTCTGCTGTGGAAAGATCTGAAGCAGACCATCGAGCGACACGAACGTGGCGCCAAAATCTTTTCCGCCATGGGTGATGTCGCCCCGGCCATGGGTATGATTGGTACGCTCATCGGTCTGGTGGCTATGCTTGCCAACATGGATGATCCAAAGTCTATTGGTCCGGCCATGGCCATTGCGCTGCTGACGACGCTGTATGGCGCCATGTTCGCCAATATGATTGCTTTACCGGTAGCCGATAAGCTGGAGCTTCGGCGCGCTGAGGAAGGCATGACCAAGGCCATGGTGATTGATGCACTGCTGGCTATTCAGGCGGGTCAGAACCCGCGCATCATCGATTCCATGTTGAAAGCCTATTTGCCGGAAGGTAAACGTGCGGACGAAGAATAACGTCATCCGACCTACCACCTGACCATGGAAGAAGTCGAAGAAAAAAAAGAAGAAGGCGGTGGTGCCGGCTGGGTAATGACCTTTGCCGACCTGATGTCGCTGCTGATGTGTTTCTTTGTACTGCTGCTGTCTTTTTCCGAAATGGATGTGCTCAAATTCAAACGTCTGGCCGGTTCCATGAGCCAGGCCTTTGGCGTACAGGCCCAGGTGAGAGCCAACGACCCGCCCAAAGGCACCAGTATTATTGCCCAGGAGTTCTCCCCGGGTACGCCGCGCCCCACGCCGTTGAATGAAATCTGGCAGAAAACCACAGACGAATCGCGTAATTCTCTCGATGTGGCCTGTCAGGACATGGGGTCCAGCAATACCGGTGAGTCCGGTGATGCGGAGCAGATGGTGGTGGTCGATAAAATTCAGGACCTGGTGGGAGAAACGGAACAGGAAGCCATTGATCTGGCGACAGCTTTATCAAAAGAGATTGCAGCTGGTGTGCTGGAGATTGAAACGTCCGGCCGTCGCATCATTCTGCGTATCAAAGAACACGGCAGTTTCCCCTCCGGCACAGCGGATCTTTCCGCTAACTTCAAACCGGTGTTGAAAATCATTCGGCAGCAGCTTCGCGACATGGATGGGCGGATTATTGTCGAAGGCCACACGGATGATGATCCTATTAACACACCTCGCTTTCGCTCCAATTGGGCGCTGTCCAGTGCCCGCGCAGTGAGTGTTGCGCATGGCCTGTTCGAGGATCCTGAGCTCGATCAGGAGCGGTTCACCATAACCGGCTTTGCAGATACCAAACCCCTGGTAAGCAATACCAATGCTGCGGGTAAAGCGCGAAATCGACGGGTTGAGGTGGTCATCCACCAGGGTTTGGGGGCTGATGTGAAAAATGATCTGGAGATCCTGAAAAACGAGTTCCCGGCGACCTACGAAAACGTGCGCCAGGAACTTATTCAACGCTTCGAGTTATCGCCCGAAGAGATTTTCTAAGGCCTCTGCAGCTAAGCTTTTTTCTTCTTGGCCATTGAATCCAGAAACTTGAGCAGCACCAGTGTTTCTGCAGGATCCATACGGCCCACGGGAGAGTTGCTGTACGTGGAAGCCATAACTTTGCCATCGCCGCGCAGAATAAACTCAGACGGCTGAATATGGTCGCGCCGGGGTTCCCACCAGGCGCCGATCGCCTCGGCATCCTGTTGTGTCATGCCATATGCCACCGGAAAGCTCAGGTCTGACGCCACTTCCAGGGTTTGTTCTTCAGTATCTACGGTACCCGCCACAATGGTCACGCCAAGGGCTTTGTAATCATCCAGTTCTGCTTCGAAGCCGGCTAACAGTCGGCGACAGAAGGGTCACCAGTGGCCGCGATAGAACAGCACCACCGCATAAGGGGTATCTATGTCTGCAGGCAGATTCAGCGTGTCGCCGCCTGCAATGTTGAGGGTCAGCTCAGGAAACTGGCTGCCCGGTACAAGTTGTTCGCTCATTGTGCCTCCCGTGTATCTGCCCATCATCCTAGCGCTAATAGACTGCCGCTGCATGCTGCAGTTTTGCGCCGATCTGGTCAGACAAGCTGGGCTTCGTAGCGTGCTCTAATCCTTGATATGCTTCTACCGGGTGGTCATAGCTCGACAGCAGATCGAGCACACCACCCATGCAGGATTGAATGAATAAAAGGTAAAAAATGAATAAGTATGTAGTCCTTGCGTTTGTGTTTATCAATTTGTTGGGGATAAACGCGCATGCTGATCTGGTGGACGATTGGTCGAAGAACCGAGAAGTCTTCAGCGCGAAAATTTCACCCCAGGGTGAATATCTTGCTGTCATGAAAGAAGAGGATGAGAAGCGCGTGGTTGCCATCTTTTCGTTTCCGGCGATGAAGCTGCTCAATGTCGTGGATTTTCCAGGCCGCAGTGAAGTTGGTAATTACTGGTGGGTTAACGATGAACGTCTAATCTTCCAGGTCAACGTCGATTGGGGTAGTCGCGAAGATGATGTTTCCTATGGCGAGCTCTATGCCGTAAATGCAGATGGCAAAAAGGGTAAGTACCTCTACGGACTCCGCGGAAATCAACCGGGATCGAACCGGTCACGGACCAGTAACGTAACCGCGGCTTTTGCGTCAGCAAGCTTCACGCACCCGATGTGGGACAACCCGAACCGGGTACTTATTTCTTTAGCGGATTGGAGCCGTGGGTTCAAAAACACCACCTCGACAGCAATGCTGGATGTGTACACCGGACGCTTGAGTGATCGTCAGATCACACCCACCGCTAACGCTCAGGTTCTGCCAGATGCCCAGGGTAATCCGCGCTTCAGCTTTTACATAGACGATGATCAGAATACGGTGATCCACCAGCGCGATCCCAAAACCGGTCAGTGGGAAATTTTTTCGAAAGCAGCTTTTGGTGAATCGCAGATCAGACCGCTTGAGGTCGCGGACGATGGGCGGATATTTGTTTTCAAGTCTGAAAGCGAAGGTCCCGAAGGTATCTATCTGATGAATCTCGAAACTAAAGAGTTTGAACAGGTGTATCAGCACGAATATGTTGATGCAGACAATGTCTTGAGAGATTTTGCTGATCGTGTTTATGCCGTGCAGTCCATGCCGGCAAAAATCGAGCAGTACATTGTCGATCCGGAACATCCGAATGCTCAGCTCATTATGGCTCTGCAGGATGTCTTTCCCGGTGCTGCCACATACGTGACCAGTACCACACACGACTTCAATTTATCTGTTGTCGCAGTGACTCAGGATACCCGTACGCCTGAGTATTACCTCTACAACCGGGGCACAGGACAACTGCAGCAGTTGTTTGATGCCATGCCCTGGATTGACGACAGCCGGCTCTCACCGATGAGGCCAATTCAGGTTACCTCGCGAGATGGAATGACACTGCATGGTTA